TCCGACGCAAAAACACGTGATCGCACGGACCCGCCCGTTGCGTCCCACCTTGGGTTTATATAAAATGGAATTTTTTCAGACTTTCCATAAGAACTTTTTTTATTTATATATATATTTTATCAAAATATTAATACTGAATATCGTTTATATACATTTTCAAATGAGTGTGAAAGTTTGATGCATCTTAGTAACATCACAAGTCTTTTTGTGCTAATTTAGCGGCTGATGTTCTGTCTTTTTTTGTCGACTCTTTTTGCTTGCAATCTGTGGTTTTTATGCGTTTTCTACATCTATGCAATGCAGAAAACGCACACTGACGAGGGGTTGTTTGTGCATGTGTATGTATGTGTGTGTGTATCTGTGTGTGCGTCTGTACTGATTTTTCATCTCAAGACCCACAAAAGCTACAGGGAAACTGGGAACTTAATCCACATGCACGTACGAGTAGTCCTAGCGGTCAATCTTAATTTGTTTAGCTAGAAGAATTTGCCGGGAAAACCTGTGTCAGTAGTGAAAAAACTGCGGGGACTATGCAAAAAATAAATCTTCGTACGGGCAGCCGGTGCGTTGGCCAATTATTTCCATAATGCTTTTATTGCCTTTCTTTCAGGAAGCCATAGGCAGCGGATCATTTGGTAAAGTTTACAAGGGGACATATCGTGGCAAAACAGTCGCCATCAAGCGGTATGCTTTGTGCGCAAGTTCTGGAAAAATTCTTTAAAATTATGGGATGAGTTTCAGAAGTACTAAAAGATCTTTTTCTCCTCACATTACTACATGCGTATAAAGTTATTCCCAGTGATATTTTTGAGGAAAACATTCGTATGAATAATAGTGAATCTGTTTTATGTTCTTTGCTTCCTCCCCATATTTCATTGTTATCCAATTTTTAAGTGAATATTTACAAATTCACGAAGAATCGATAAGTTGCAGATATCGCGCAGTTGCGTTTGGCTCGAAAAGTGAGGTTGATATGTTCTGTCGGGAAGTGTCAATCCTCAGCAAGCTCCAGCATCCAAATGTGATCACGTTTGTGGGTGCCTGCTTGGATGATCCAAGTGTGAGTTAGCTTTACATATGACTGACGAGAATTAGTAAACTTTGTGACGAAGGCTCTGGATAGAAGCGTCTGAAAACTTTGCATCTGCAGCGCTAGAAATCACGCTGATTTTGATAATTCACATGAATCTTCTTTAGTAGTACTTACTATGCTGGTAGTATTGATTATTCCCCTTTTAACATTTTTTGATATGACTATTTTCAATGTCTCATGGATAGGGGGAGTTCATGTTCTATTTGTT